ACAGACGGATGGGGGCTGCCTGTATCCGTGAACGCCTGGATCGGGCTCTGTGCTCCCACCCTTGGATTGATAGGTTCCCGGATACCTTGGTTAAGCATTTCATGGATCAGGGTTCTGACCATCGTGCCCTCCTTCTGTCAGACAAGACTTACACCCGCCATAGTCGCCCCCTCTTCCGATTTGATGCCCGTTGGGCCGATAATCCTGAAGTAAGGGCAATGGTTAATTATGTCTGGAAGGAGGACATTCAAGGAACCCCTATGTTCCGCCTTTCGGAGCGTCTCAAACGTCTTCGCCACTTGCTCTATGATTGGAGTAGGGCGGGCACTACTAATTCCTTGCGGAACATTAAAACTCTGCAGGCAAAGATTGAACGGATTAAGTTGATTCAGCCAATTGATTGGGACGAGGTTAGAAATCTCGAGGTTGAGCTTAACCGGCAGTGGGAGGCGGAGGAAATCTACTGGCAGCAAAAGTCCAGGGTCCGGTGGCTGAAGAAGGGGGACCAAAATTCATCCTATTTTCATACGGTTACCCGTGCAAGGCGTAAGCGCAATTTTGTTACTGGTCTTCGTAGTGACAATGGGGATTGGGTCACCGAGGAATCAGGGAAAGCAGAGATTGCCATAACTTTTTACCAGTCGCTCTTTACCTCTGAGACGCAGATCCCGGATATGGTTGATCGAGTAAACAGTCTCCCTGTTCCTCAGAGTGTTACCCCTGAGATGAATGCGGCTTTGACGACTGAGGTCCTTCCCAGTGAAGTTTGGAAAATTGTTTTTTCCATGGGCTCAAAGCAAGCCCCGGGCTCGGATGGGTTTACGGGAAAATTCTTTAAGGCTTTCTGGGATGTAGTAGGGGAGTCTGTGATTGTCGCAGTCTGTTCCTTCTTTGAGACGAGTCGGATGCTTAAGAGCTTTAATCATACCTGGCTCACGCTGATTCCTAAGGTGGATAACGTGGAGACCATGCGGCAATTACGTCCAATTAGTTTGTGCCAATTTGTTTACAAAATGATAACAAAGATTATGGGTGAAAGACTGGCGTGCATCCTCCCTCAAATTATCTCTGAGGGTCAAAACGCTTTTATCCGTGAGTGCCAGATAATAGATAACATCCTCCTTGGACATGAGTTAATGCATTATTTGAAAATCAAAACTCGGGGTAAGAAAGGGTACATGGCTTTAAAGGTTGACATGGAAAAGGCCTATGATAGAGTCGAATGGCCCTTTCTCCTCGCAGTTATGAATAAGATGGGTTTTAACTCTGTCTGACAGGAATGGGTTCTGGAGTGCCTTCGGTCCTCTTCTTTTTCTGTGCTTATGAATGGATCCCCCTCGGGGTACTTTAAGCCTTCCAGAGGACTGAGGCAGGGAGACCCGCTGTCACCTCTGTTGTTTGTGATTTGCACTGAGGGATTTACGACCCTTCTGCAGAAGGCAATTGCGGAAAAGAAGCTTCAGGGTGTTAAGGTGGCTCCTCGGGCCCCTAGAATTTCTCACCTGTTTTTTGCTGATGATTCATACTTGTTTCTGCGGGGGAACCTTCAGGAATGTGAGAACCTGATAGAGGGTTTGAACGAGTATGAAGAATTGAGCGGGCAACGGGTGAATCTGGAAAAGTCAGCTGTTTGCTTCAGTAAGAACGTAGTACTGGCTGATCAAGAATTCCTAGCTACGATTCTGGGGGTTGGGGCGGTGGGAGTCCACGATAAATACTTGGGGTTGCCCACCCCGTTTCATAGATCCAAAATGGCTACGTTCAGGTACATGGAGGATAGATTGTTAGCGAAGCTTCAGGGTTGGAAGCAAAGAACGTTGTCCTGGGCGGCTAAGGAGACCCTTATTAAGTCTGTAGCTCTTGCCTTGCCCCTACATGTAATGTCATGCTTCAAATTACCAGTCTCGCTATGTCGTCTTTTGGATAAGCATGTGGCTCGGTTCTGGTGGGGGGAGGCTGAGGGTCATCTGAAAATTCGATGGGTCTCCTGGCGGAATATGTGTAGGAGTAAGCATGATGGGGGGATGGGGTTCCGCAGGTTTGAGCAGTTCAATCAAGCTCTCTTGGCCAAAATTGGCTGGCGGATTTTGACTGAGCCCCAGTCCCTCCTGGCCCAGGTGTACAAAGGGAAGTATTTCCCCAATAGATCCTTCCTCACCGCGACGGCTCGCTCCCATCCGTCTTGGGGATAGCAGAGCATTCTTTTTGGGCGCCAGCTATTGGAAAAAGGGCTGAGATGGCAAATCGGTAATGGGCGGTCGGCTTCTTTATTGAATTCCAATTGGATCCCTAAATGTCAGCTGGAGCCCCCTCAATACAATCCTTGTATTTTGCCTGATGGGGGGGACCCGGTCGTAGCCGAGATTATTTGTCAGGGGGAGGGGCGTTGGTGTGAACACAAAATTAGGCAGTGGTTTGACCCTGCTACTTGTAAGGCGATCAAAGCTATTCCCCTCCCGCGCCAGAATGTGGATGATAGGTTGATTTGGCATGATACTGCTGATGGGGTGTTTTCGGTCAAATCGGCCTATCACCTTGCGGTCTTGCTGGATAAGCGGAAGGGTGGGTGGAACGACTCGGTCAGCTGGATGGATAAGGCTAGTTGGATTCGTCTGTGGGAGGCCAACATTCCCCCTAAGCTAAAGGTGTTCGTCTGGCAGATCCTCTCTCTAGCCCTCCCAACTACTGAGGCTCTCATTGAGCGTGGGGTCCCGGTCCATCCTCGTTGCCCGGTTTGTTGGGATAGTACGAAATCTTTAGAGCATTTGTTCCTAAGTTGTCCGGTGGCTCGGGCTCTTTGGGATTACGCGGGATTGGATTACCTTGGGGAGGGGTTACCTCGTCAGACGTTTCCTTTGTTTCTCAAAAAGCTTTTGGCCTTAATCAATCAACCTACTTTGTTCATGGCAGTTGTGGCCATCCTCTGGCGGATCTGGCGCTCGCGTAACTGGGTGGTGTTTGAAGGGAAACAATTTGGAATCCCAGCTTTGATGCGTCAGTTCTTCCAACAGTATGATGAATGGGTTCGATTGCCTACCCGATCCATCTCACAGGCTCCTCCTCCTAGTTCTGGTCAGTTGGGGGGGGGGGGGGGGGGGGGGGGGGTGGTCCTCGTATGGTTTGTAGGTGGGATGGGCCACTAGAAGGGGATCCCATTCGGCAGGAGGCATGGTTCTGGTGCTTTCTTCAGGTGTGATCAGTATGGCCACGGGTGTACAATTTGCGGTGATTGATAATCCTATGGTAGTGGAGCTGTTGGTGTTGCGGGAGGCTATTATGTGGTGTCAACGTCTGGGCCTGACGAATGTTCGTTTTGAAGGCGACGCCAAAGTCATTATTGATAAGATTAATCTGGAGGGATCATGGAGATAACAGGATGGGCGCTGTTCTGGAAGAAATTGCTAAGTGTCTCCAGATCCAGCCTGAGTTTAGTATTCGGTTTATAGGTCGGCGTAGTAATAGGGTAGCCCATTTGGTGGCTAAAAAAGCCCTTTTTTTTACCCGGCCTTGAGTCGTTCCTTTGATTTTCAGACCTGGCTGTCTTCCAGGGTGTAACTGCCTATTATTTGATTCAATATATGATTATCTTTTGTCAAAAAAAAAACTTCAAGAGCATTTAGAGGGAAAAAGTGTCACATTCTCATTTAGAGGAAAAAAACATGGAAAATTAAAAATGGAATATGTATACATGATAAAGAATAGAATTAAAATTTGACGATTGCATACGAAGAGAAGGCCAAAACCAACCATAACAAGTGAAAAAAAGGAAAAAAATGCAGACCACCGAGAATCATGAAGAACCTTCCAAGACTGACATGTAGAGGTATTGTCCAAAACCACATTATTATTTGGCGTCGACAAAAATCCAAATTATAAGCTACATTTAACTCATATATATATAAACGTGAAAGGAGTAGTCGAGGAGGAAGAACCGTAATATTTTTTTTTCTTCGTTAATAGTTACCTGATAGAAATAGTAAAGTTATTATAGCAAAAAAAAAAAAAAAAAACAAAGCCTTGAAAAGGAAACTGTGCAACCTTTGAGTTATGAGAAGAAGAAATTTAATACCCAAGAGGTCCCCTAGTTCGGTCTCCAAAGTTTTGAATTTCTCTTCTCCTTCATCGCACATCCAACGATTCTTCAATTATAGCCGGAAAAATAAAGCACCGCCATCAACAAATCGTGCACCTCTTAGAACGCAGAGTGATTCAGGTTCATTTACATCTGTTCCTTTTACCTGCGTGTGTTATTCTTAATGAATCGAATGAATTTTTGTACTAGTTGTTCTTATCTTGATTGTGCATAATTGAAACAAAATTATAAGTGATCATTCTCCCTTTTCCTCTCGTCCTTTGTCAACATTAAGGGGACAAAAAGAATAAAATCCATAAGTCATAGCAAGAAATGAGAAGTGTCTCATGAATTGTTTTTTTTTTTTTTTACTAACAGCGTTGTAAGTGTTAAAATCATTCAGAGATCTCAATTAGAATCTATCATTTCAAATTATACATCTTCTATTGCAAGATCCGATTTGTTTATTATTCGTTTTCAGAAAAGAAATTTCCTTTCGGAGAGATTATGTAGTATTTAATTATATGTACAAATTTCATATAATCATGTTATATTTTATGAATGAATTTTTCTTAGATAAAATCATCTTAAAAATCGAATGCATTTCAAATTCTGTTCTTTCATTCTTTGACATAAAACTCCCACTTTTCAAATAACTCTCTTAAAGATATTGGGAAACTTACAAACAGCTGTTTCTGGTACGACGACGACCGGTTACCGGTTGTATGAGTAGGAAGGAAATGAGAACGGATCAAATTGATTAAATTCTGGGCCGCGGGGGTGGGTGATTTTGATTTGACTTGATTTCTGTGTGTTGTGGAAAACAAAAACAAAAAACAATCATTTCTTGCTGGCAGCCTTGATTGGACTGGCAACAGATCAAGACCAGGGCCAATTATATAAAAAGGAGACAAGGGGCGGCGTCAAAATGGCAGACTCACCACTTGCACCTGCACCTTCTTCCCCGGCCGACGACGGAACCTCTTCTCCGATGGAAAGCCTTCTGGGTTTGCTCCGCATCCGAATCAAACGCGGCGTCAACCTCGCCGTCCGCGATGTTCGCAGCAGCGACCCTTACTGCGTCGTCAAAATGGGCAAGCAGGTATAACTATATAACCCTCCTCCTGCTCCAATGGGTTTTATCTCTGTCTCTCCATTCCCCCAATTTCATGAGGGTGGAACGATTATGTAGATTAGATGTGTCCGTATTCCGATTGGGAAGAGAACCCAGTTGGGAATCGCTAAGATGGAGGTTTTACAATCAACAATTTAAGTCAGCCTGACTCGTTGACTTGGGATGATTGCTTTATATAGAGAGAGGGTGTTGTTCTGTTGTCAAATACGGAAGTTTGGGTCTTAGGGCTTGTGTGATCCGAAAGTAATGATGCTAATGTTGATGTTATGGTGACTACTGTACAGAAACTGAAGACTAGTGTGATAAAGAAGGATGTGAATCCTGAGTGGAATGAAGATTTAACTCTGTCTGTTACTGACCCGGATCTTCCAGTCAAGTTGGTATGTTTCCCTTATTTGCTTCTTCCTTCCTTATTGTGCCTGTAATGGTATGGTATGGACATGGTGCTATTTTGAGTGAGGAGTTATTGCAGTTTGTTTCCTGTTGGAGACCTGGGGTTTTTGCTAAATTGATGCTCCCTCTTTATCAGGGAAGGTAGACAAACAATGATGTAGGAAAATTTTTAATGAACCAGCTAGAACACCTCTTTCTAAGCTTTTGGTTGTTCATTTAATCTTTCCCACTTCCCAGTAAGGATCGTGTTCTAATTGTAGTTTCTGTACTCTTTACATAATTAGACTCTTCCAAAAGAATGTCCCTTTCTAAAGTAGGAAGTGCGGTTTGGATTTTTTATTCTGAGGCTATAGTTATCTACCACTTCACTGAATAAGCCTCCAAGACACTTCAGAGTGTGTACAGAGATACTCTGGCAATAAGATCAGAAACTAATATGAACAACAGTATAGCTCCTTTGGTGAAACTGGTTGTCCAGTAGGCATATCAATATACAACCGGTCACTTGGTGGCTTTATACATAATCAGTATGAGTGGCTGGTCTGTTTTAATTTCTGATACTCGCAAGCTTGGAAGCTTAGCCGGTCAAGTATTGCCTAATTATATGTTTGACTTGCTTATCAAGGACCGAGATTGAGATTGTAAGACATTCAAACTTAGGAAGAGCTCAATCCAAGCTTATGTTAATCCAAGCCTCAAGCAACTCAAGCTTTAGGAGTCCAGAGTTGTTTAAAAATACTTGACAAGATTTTACTTTTATATTGAATGTCCTCTACATGTACAAGTTTGAAGTCAGGTGGTTTAACACTCCAGTCTATTTGCAACGTGTTATATCACTCGATACTGTACGACATTAGAAGAGGGGGAAAATCTATTGTACTGATGGTCATAGTTTTGAGTTCCATGCACCACTCTGTGATGACTTGTCCACTTTGAGTTTTTGGTATTTAGCATGCGTTTCCAGCATGGGAGTTGGGTAGAATTTTATTTGTAGTATACTCTGCCGTTTTGAGTCCCGTGGACTTTGAGTTACAGCACAGAGTTTCAAATGCTTCTGCTTCCCAAGAACTGTTTGTTTGAAGTTTAACCATCAAACTAGCAGATTAAGTAGTTCATACTTGCTGGGGCGTAGCTCAAGCTGCATACTTCCAAACTGGGTGAAACTCAATGTTCACTACTAACAATCTGTTATGTTTCCATCTGTTCTTGTAGACTGTTTATGACTATGACACATTCAGCTTAGATGACAAAATGGGGGAGGCAGAATTCGACATCAAACCGTTCATGGATGCATTAAAGATGGATGTGTCAGGCCTACCAAACGGCACCATCATCACAAAAATACACCCCAACAGGTCAAACTGCTTGGCGGACGAGACCTGCATTACCTGTGTTGATGGCAAAGTTCTTCAAGATATGTGCCTCCGATTGAAAAACGTGGAATGTGGTGAAGTTGAGCTCCAGTTGCAGTGGATTGACCTCCCACATGGAAAAGGCTTTTAAAAGGAACCCGAAAGAAGAAGAATCAGAGACTTAAAAGCCGGGATGCTGGTCAGTCTATCTCCAGAAGCATATATATATTTACACACACTCCATGGTTGGTGTAGCTAGTATCCTGCTGATTTTGGCGATGCAGCTTACGCCACCATATTGTTCATAGGTTGTGCAGTACCGCAAGCTGAAGATCGATCTCATGAATGGTCTTTTCTTTCTCATTTAAATTGTTATTGGTGTATTTAATCAGCACATACCTGGCATAACTATATGTCATGAATGTCCATCTTATTATCAGTCCTCAACTAGGATTTGAACTTGGAAAGACAGATGATGTGTTGCCAATCATCCTGAATTATGTTCCAGGAAGCCTGAAAATGATGCATGAAGATTATATATGCCTTACATTCTTCCTTTACTTCTGCTGCCCTCCACGCCTTATCTATGTTTATATGTGTTTGTTCTGTTATTTCACAATGATTCTCGAGACAACCACTGCAGGAAACATGAGTGCTTCCTTTTAACCAGTTCTCACCTTCAATTGGGACATTTCCGGCTCCACAGAGACTCGGTTTGCTTTTGCTTTAGCTTTAGCTTTTCCATTGTTCCGGTTCTTTCTCCCCAGTTAGATTAGAACGATTCCTTCGGCAGAGTTGGTCACGTCGCCATCCCCATCTGGGAAAGGAAACCACTTTGAGCTCTGAGCTCAGTGCTCACACAAAGAACAGAAAAGGAAAAGAAAGGCGCAAGTCTTTTGAGAATCCCATCCATGTATGCCGGTTGGGTTGCAACCAGAGAACACAAAAGAGGGGGAACAGCGAAGTTGAAAAGAGCTAGAAAAAAGGCTCAGCAGCAGCAGAGCCGATGGCCGCAGGGGAAATGGGTTTGGAGGCTCTGGTTTGGTTGCAAAAATGGATGGTGGCTAAAAGTCTAGAAGCTACGCCATCCAATCCAGTTGAGGGGGAAAAGAACAAGACGGAATGTGCAATAAAGAAATCCATTGAAGAATGGACAAAAGAAGGTCCACGTGAAGCTGTGGTGGTGGTATCAAATCCTTGCGATCTTTTTAACCATGGGGCTCGCTTTGTTTGGTTGTTTGTTTGTTTAATTTGTTGTTGTGATTGGAGGACAAATGAAACAAACAAACAAACCACCATGGAATGAAGAATCAAACTTTGATAGTTTAATATGTCGAAGAGAATTGTTTAAGTAGATTCAGTTGATGTGATGGAGATGGTTAGGATAAGTTTTACTAACTTATGGGTGAGAAGTTACAAGGAAAATCAAATTATGGAGGGAGTGTGTGACTGTGATGAACCCTAGTTGGATGGGGGTGAGTGCAAGTGGCCATACCCTTGGATTGACAACTAATTCGAGTGTATTAAGCGTTTGCAAGAAATTTCGATAATAAAATAGTAAAATGAAAGAATTTGAATACATTTTTCACTAACCTATGATATAATTCTAAAATTCTTCCTAGGCTTTCTCCTTTACCATCTATATGAGGTCCTCATTTTCTTGTGATGCATTCATGCGGCCGAGCCTCTGGACCTCTTTTTGCTATAATTATTATTATGTTTATTTTGGGATATTACTTTAGTTATAGGGTTATTATTCTTCTTCTTGTTTAGGTAGTAGTCGATTAGGAGTCGGGTTGTGATTAGCTTCCCATGTTTGAGAGGGAAAGGGTTTATGGGATGTGTCCTATAAATATGTACTTAACCCTTACATTTTATTTATTGAAGAAGAATAAACTCTAGTATTTTCAGTTTTCTTTAGTTTTTCGTATTTCAAGTTCCCAACGCGTGAGGCTGTCGCGCGTCATCTTGGCCTTGAAGGTTCTTCTTCCATTTCCTCTCTTCTTCAAATTATTCATGTCTTCTACAAACTCCTCCCGCAATATACCAAGAATAGGGATGCAAATGAACCAAACTACTCGCAAGCAACTCGAGGCTCGAATCGGGAAAAACTCGTTCGAAACTCGATTCGTTTACTGACGAGCCAAGCTTGAGCCTAGCTATGTTCAGCTCGTGAAGCTCGCGAGCTAGCTTGACTCGGTGGCTTGTTGAGCTCAACTCGTGAGTTGGCTCATTTAGAGCTCATGAGATGTCTCAACATTGTGGTTTGAGGGCCAACTTGATCACTGACTTATGGACTAATCGATCTGATTTGGACTTTCATAATTCATAGGATTGTTAAATTATATATCTCACATCATGTGAAGTTTAACATGTTGAACATGTAAGAAAATATGCTTTATTTTTAATTCTATAAAGAAATTATGTACAAAATTGTTTCGATACTATGAAATAACATGATTTGAACTAGTTAAAATTTATTAACTAAACAATATGACACCTAAAAATTATAATATAAGATTAATTAATGTTGAACATTTGATTATTTTTTATCGCTACATCAATCACATGTACCATACTCGACATACAAAATGAATGTATTAAATACGATCTAAGAATTTAGTAAACAAGTCTAGTTCGAACTCGACTCGACTCGGCTCGTTAATAAATGACTCGGGCTCAATCTCAGCTCATTTGTTAACGAGTCAAGCTCAAGCTGGGGTAAAACTCGGCTCAGCTCGGCTCATTTGCAGCACAGAACACCATCCTCATAGGCTCTATATTGTATATATGTTCCAGTGACCTTTTATGCTTGATAATAACATGAGGACGAGGGTGATAAGGCAACCTAGCTATCATCCCTTTCATTATCTTGATTTCTATCAAATCTATAATCCTAGCAGATGATAGAGAGTCATTTCAAGTATATAAATATTGTGATGTGGATGTGAAAGTCGAGAGCAATGTAGTCAAAAGCGAGTTTCTACGTAGAAATGATTTTGTTATCTAGAAGCGTAAAATCGTAAGTTTTAAAGCGGAGTTTTTAACTGCATAAGTTATAAAAACTCAGATTTTGTCTAGAAGCGTTTGAATGACCTAGAAACGTAAAATACTAAGTTCTGAAGTTTTAAAATGCTATTTTGACAACATTGTCAGTGGCGGATCCAGGGGTGGCCACCCCGGGCCCCGACCCAGCCCTCCTCTGGATCCATAATTAGTATAGGCCTTATGAATTTTTCGATTTTAGATATTCGGGTCGTTGTTATTTTAAAATAAGATTGGGTATAATTAGAAAAATAATTCAGATGAACATATTCAAAATCACTACTCTAAATTTAGCTTATAAATTCTAACCCCAAAGGTTATTCGTCTAAAAAAACAATGAAACCTAAAAATTCAAAAAGTTTAAAACGTAAAAGACTAAAACATATATGAGGTTTGTTACCTTGGAAAATTTACTAGAGCAGCTGATGGATATAGGGATGGAAACACAATGCAAATTGATTAGTAGATTGATTTGTCTAGTATTGATGCTGCTCGTTTCAACAGCTAATACGAATAGAACCTTTTCAACAATGAAACATGTGAAAATTGACTTGCGCAACAAAATGAGCGATGGATTTCTAGTCGATTGCTCAAGTATTTTATTTGAAACAGTGTATACTATTGGTATGAATGTGGACTCCATTATTAATGCATTCACTAAATTAAAATACCGTCGTGTACAATTTACATTGTAAAAAAATATAATACTATTCTAATTTTCTAATAAAATACGGCGCAGTACACTTCTGTGTTCTGGATCCGCTTGTATATGAGATTTACTCACTTTGTTGGACTCTCGTCGTCTGTCCTTTTTCACTTGTGAGGCTTCGGCAATTGGACAAACAATGATAGTGTAAGCGAACACAGGGTGGGTGGTTTAGAAAGAGATGTGTCATTGTGGCTTCTCCCCTAGTTGTCCTCCTTGGTCTTTAATTTTTTCCAATCAAGAATATCCCCAAAATAATGAAACATAAATATGCAGAGGACAAGAGATAGTTAGATTGAAGGATGAATTCATGGAGTTTTAGATAGACGCATATGCCTGCCTAATAGTCTTTGATTATGGAAGCTTGTGAATAATCAAGGTCTCGTGCTCGTTCTCAATTATTTATGCCAAGAGGATTTCATATCCAACAGTAATAGAAATTTCAAGTCTTCGTAGGACTCCATTTGACGATCTCCTTATGTGACAAAGCATATACATACAGTTTCTTACTTGCAATTTGGCACTTAAATTCACTAACAAGTTACATTTTCATTAAAAACGATTTTCCTTTTTGTTGCTAAAAATACAATCGCAAATACTAAATATTTTAATCTAACAAATCTATTATATATCAATAATAATAATAATATAATACATACATGAGACTACATCCATTTGACCATGCATGGGATGGGAGGAATCAAACAACCCTTATTAATGAATTGTTTTTGTTAAATTTGGAGCATGCGCACTCCAACTTCATAATCTCTTTACCAACTTCAAGACAGACAGACAGACACAGCACTTGTCATTAACGACAAAAGTTTCATCTACCTTAATAAATCATTTTTCCTTTAATTTCTTTTTTGGGGTGCAAATTAAATGCAATTCTCGCCCTTGGTTAACTATGATATGAAGTTCCCTTGTCGGGTTTCTGAGATAATCACGGCTGCAACCCATAATTATTATTACCAATCAGAAACAGACAACTCATTGATTCAAGGAGAGTATAACCAAGTCTAGTAATTAATTACATCCAACGGCCTTCTCAATCTCATGATGGTTCCCTCTACACATAACTATAAGTGAAAAAGATAGAAACCTATCTCTATCTCTTGAAGAACGCTAGGGTTTGCTGCTTTCAGAAGAAGAAAACAAGAATGAACAACAACATTTGGAAGAAGTCGGCATAATGTTTTTCCTCTGATTTTTCATGGTATATATATATATATACACTGTAAACGGCAACTATCAACTAATTAAGCAAATGGATCTACAAGTGACACTAATTAAATAATCACATTATTCATTTACTGATCTTCTAGGCGACGATGTTTCCATATGTGGAGTGATGTACCACTTGAACAAGCATTGTGAATTTATATAATGAAACAATTATTACTTAATAGTATGATATATATATTACTTGCTTATGATCATGAGGATGCTCTTGATCAAGAAACTATAAACTGTACCGATAATAACAAGTACAAAAAAATTGCAGTGATTAAAGTTCAAATCTCAATACTCAAGATGCCAATGTTTATATATATGTCTTCATATGACCAATGACAAAATCCCAATACATAAAACAAGTTAAATTTCTGTTTATTCGAATTGTAAAATGGAGGTTGAAAAGGGATAACTGTTAGTGTTGTGGTATATTATCCACGATTGAACCTCTCCCAATAACTCGAGTTATTGGGACCAATTGGTTTATTACATGGTATCAGAACCTTCTGTGATCGAGAGGTTTTGTGTTCGATTTCCGGTGACCCCCATTTGTTAAGCACATGGTATTCTTGTCTTCGGACCTGTGCAAACTTCAAGCCCTTGTTAGTGGCTTTCGTTTGAGGGGGCGTGTTAGTGTTATGGTATATGATCCACGATTGAACATCTCCCAACAACTCGAGTTATTGGGACCAACTAGTTTATGTCAATAACTCTGCATTGAACCCTTTTACCCACTTAGTTTTCAACCATCCATATAATATAGAGGATTAAGTTAAGTATAGTAAATCTACGTACGGTACATATAAGACAAAAGTTAGAATGCCACCACTTTGCTATAAAATCGTGGAGTTAACCAAGATTGAACCCCAACTTGTTTACTTAAATCCCCTCCATCCAGCTTACCAAGACCACCTGTCATCACTTCAAATTCCCTTCACAAACCAACAACTTGGGGAAATATATGAAAAATTAACGGTTACATTAACTAGTTTATCTCCTTGTTAGTCTCGTATCTCGAATCAAACCACATCCAAACAAACAAACCAACAAACAAAACTCCCTCTTCCTATACTCGTGGGAGGGGGGAAATAAAATACAAAAGGAAAATTTTGCTAGAGATAATTAACCGATGAGTTTGAATTTAGGTTTGGACATTTTAGAATGGGTTAATACCCTAGTTTGGCCCGAAGTTTAGCGTTAGTGACAGTTGTGGCCCCATTTTTTAAATAAGACATTTATGGCCTACTTTTGAAACTATTTGACAAATTTGGCCTAAAATTTTCTTTGACTGTTAATATTAACGGTCAAACACTATTCCGTTAGTGATTCAGCAAAAAATCACTGATGTGGCATGCCACGTCATTAAAACATATTATTTTAATTGTATATTTCGATTAAAATAAAAATTAACAGAATAAAAAAATCCTCTTATGAACCCAAAATCCCCAAATTCAAACCCTAAATTGTTAATTGTGAATAGGAGGGAGGCGCCTCCTCCTTCTCCGACCAACAACAGTCTTCCGCCTCTCCCGTTACTTCTTCTTCTTCTTCTTCTTCTTCTTCTTCTTCTTCTTCTTCGACCAGACTTCTAGCCTCCATCCGCTTTAGCTTCCTCCACCTTCCTCGCCTCTCCGAGTTGACAGGTACCACAAGTAGTGAGTTCCCACTTTTGCCGATCAATTTTCCTCCGATAATTCCCACTTCCATCGCGAGTTCGCCACCGCAAATCTCCTCCGCCACTACTTGAGTTCTCCGACCCACCTCTTTCACTCCACTACCGCCGCGGCCATTCTCCGTCACGTCCCGACTCGCCATCCTTATTCACATCCCCCCGCCATCGTCCATCCTCAAGAGTCTGCCTCTCTTTCGATCGGTTCGTCTTCTTGTGGATTCTCCGGTCATCTGTGCCTTTATGATGTCGACAAGATCTTGAGCAGTCACACTGCCAAATATCAGTTTGCCCTTTCCACCTTTGCGCTTCACCTTGAAGGCTCCAACAGTTTCAAATATCCAAGCAAGCTGCTGAGCGTCTTCTTTTACCTGTCAAAAGCAATAGCCAATGATCGGTTCGTCTTCTTGTGGATTAACGATTTAGGGTTTTAAATTGGGGATTTTGGGTTCATAAGAAGATCTTTTTATTCTGTTAATTTTTATTTTAATTGAAATATACAATTAAAATAATATGTTTTAATGACATGGCATGCCACATCAGTGATTTTTTTGCTGAATCACTAACAGAATAGTGTTTGACCGTTAATATTGACGATCAAAGAAAATTTTAGGCCAAATTTGTCAAATAGTTTCAGAAGTAGGCCATAAATGTCTTATTTGAAAAATGGGGCCAGAACTGTCACTAATGCTAAACTTCGGGCCAAACTAGGGTATTAACCCTTTTAGAATCAATCAAACTATGGTCTTAATGGTCATTGACATTAGGAATGATTTGGATGTGGAAATTTTGGTGTATAATTTGAGCCAAAATTTCACAAAATAAATGCAACAATGAGTTGAAAACCAACATTTGATCGTGCAAAATAAATGCCAAAATTGGACTGCATAGATTTGACTCAAATTTCACAGAATTCTGTCCCTTTTCTTCCTCTAGAGTCGACTCTCCCTCAAAATCCTCGACTATGTCTTCCCCCCAATCCATCTCTCAACCCTCGTTTTGAAGTTGTCAGACCTGTTCATTTTATGTCGTCGTCACTCCTCTAAGCTTTCCAATTGCCGCTTTATTTGTTGTAAATCCCTCTTGATTTCTTCTGGTGGTCGGGGCTTAGGATATCGTGGTTACTCATCCATCAGTAATTAAATGAGAACCGTAGATCTGATGGGGAAAACATTGTGTGGCTGATATTGACGCGGGGTGGGAAAGGGGCATTTTTGTCCGATTTTTGCAACTTTATTTATTTCTTTTTTTTTATTTCTTTCCAGCATTTATATGCTGGCTTTTAATTGAGGAAAGAGAAAAAACAGATTTCTTCCTCTCTCTCTTTTTTCTTTCTCTTTCTCTCTTCTTTCTCTCTTCCAAATACCTTTTTCCAGATCTAGATCTGTTCCCTTCTCTTGTTCTTCATTTTTTTTCTCCAATCGACAAAGAAAAAAATTGCAGCATCCCCTCTCAAATTCGGTGACGCTCTAAATCCTTCTTCTCTCAATCTGGTCCTTCCTTCTGTTCTTTCTTTTCTCGGCCTCAAAATAGATGACGCTCCATATTGACCAAGAGGGGACAGATCTAGGTGAGTTGAGTTTGCATCTTTTATGTTTTAGTATTTGTTTGTGAATTAATTCTGATCTTCTACCTCTTTTTCTTTCTTTTTGCATTTGGTGTTCTTCATTGTGGAGGAGTAAATGAGAGGAGACAGAAGACAAATTTTTTTCCTCTTCCTCCTTATGTTTCCCCTTCTTTGAGAATATATATTGATATTACCACACTATACCATATGGTAATGTGTGCTAACTAAGTGTATTTTTATAGTCACGAGTTTTATCATGGTGGTAGTGGGTGGTAATCGACACCAGTTCCGAGAAAGAAGAGTTAGAAGACAATGAAGGGAGAGAAGAAAGTGAAGAAAGTCGTAATTGTATATATATATATTGAGATTACCACACTATACCATATGGTAATGTGTCCATACCATATGGTAATGTGTCCATACCATATGGTAATGTATGGTAACGAAATGTATTTTTATGAATATCATGTTTTTACTATGGTTGTAGGGGGTTGTAATTAGATTTACATGGTTTTACCTTCTCATACCATGTGGTATTATATGGTAATTATAATTAATTTGTGGTCCTTTGATTTACCATGTTCTACTATGGTGGTATTGTATGGTAGTTAGATTTATAATTTTCTGTAGTGTGGTTTACCAAGTTATACCATGTGGTGGTAGTTTGATTTGTAATTTTTTTTAGCATGTTATACCATATGGTATGGTAATTAGATTTGTAAACTTCTGTAGCATGTTTTACCACGTTATACCATGTGGTATTGTATGGTAGTTAGATTTTTAATTTTCTTCTACATATTTTACCATGTTTTACCACGTTTTACATGTGGTATTGTATGGTAGTTGGAATTGTAGTTTTCTTCAACATATTTTACCATGTTTTACCATGATAGTAGAAAGTGATAATCATATTTATACTTGTAATTAGTGTCTTTAACAATGTATTATTTAACGAAAAAATCATCATTCAATTTGAGCTGGAATTAGTTTAGAGATAGTTAGGATGGTTAGATTCATTTTTGTTGTAGATGGGAGAGAGAAGAAATAATATATTTTTTCTTTTAATAATAAAATAAAACAAAGAGTGAGAGAAAAGGGGAACCAGACAACCAATGTGGGGTGGGGAGTGGGATCCGCGTCATCGTCATCGTCAACGTCATCATTAAATATGAGATGCAATTTTACCTTAGTGCCCCTCCGTGTTTAAATTAAATAAAAAGAAAAAGCTGGCACGTGGGGACATATGATTGGATTACTGAAAGTTACTGATAGCAAGGATACTGACATGATCTAGTCCCGGTGGTCGGTCGAACTTGGGTATGAAATTGAATATGAGAATCCAAGTATTATTATAATTCTCATTAGGACGTCCTAAACTCGATAGGAGTTTTTAGGCTCCTTTCCTTGGGGGAAATAAATGAGGGAGGGGAGGGGAGGGGAGGGGACAAACGCCTGTGCATCGGGCACTGCAACTGCAACCCTTCGCTCGTATTTCTCAATACAAAAGCTGCCCCCCTCCCCTCAAAAAGCAAAACCTTAGAAATTAGAAAGAATTTCTATTTTCTTCCTTTTTCTTTTCTTCTTCTAATTAGATTATACAATTAATTAATTTCAGCGTGTAAACTATAGTACACCGCCCGAGTCAAGCCAGCCGAGTGAGTAGTGACTCTCTCTCTCTCTTCTCTCCTCGGCCATAAAAGTTTCCACCCTCCTCCCACCATCTTCAAATCAAACCCCATAAACCCCAAAACAAAACCCACATGCTTCTTCTTCTTCTTCCCTTCTCCCCCCTCTCCTTCCTCTCCCTCTTCTTCCCTTTCACCATCGGAACTGTAACAAACCCAAGAACTTGAAAACCCAGAAGACGAAAGAAAAGATGATCACCGGCTCCGATTTCTACCACGTCATGACGGCAATGGTGCCGCTCTACGTCGCCATGTTCCTGGCGTACGGGTCGGTGAAGTGGTGGAAGATCTTCACCCCGGACCAATGCTCGGGAATCAACCGATTCGTGGCCTTATTCGCCGTCCCGCTCCTCTCCTTCCACTTCATCTCCACCAACGACCCATACGCCATGAACTTCCACTTCATCGCCGCCGACACCCTCCAAAAAATCATCATCCTCGTCGCCCTCGCCTTCTGGTCCAACCTCACCCGCCGCGGCTCGCTCGACTGGACCATCACTCTCTTCTCCCTCTCCACCTTACCCAACACCCTGGTCATGGGAATCCCTCTGCTCAAGGGCATGTATGGCGACGCCTCCGGGACGCTCATGGTCCAGATCGTCGTCCTCCAGTGCATCATCTGGTACACCCTCATGCTCTTCATGTTCGAGTACCGCGGCGCCAAGCTCCTCATCTCCGAGCAGTTCCCTGATACCGCCGGTTCCATTGTGTCCATTCACGTCGATTCAGACATCATGTCGCTCGACGGCCGCCAGCCGCTCGAGACGGAGGCCGAGATTAAGGACGACGGCAAGCTGCACGTCACGGTCAGGCGCTCCAACGCCTCCAGATCGGATATCTTTTCGCGGAGGTCTCAGGGAGGACTTTCCTCCAACACCCCGCGTCCCTCCAATTTGACCAATGCCGAGATTTATTCTCTGCAGTCCTCCAGGAATCCCACCCCCCGCGGGTCGAGCTTTAATCACACCGACTTCTACTCGATGATGGCGGCGGGTCGGAGCTCCAATTTTGGGGCCAATGATGTGTATGGTATGTCGGCGTCCCGCGGCCCGACTCCCAGGCATTCTAATTACGATGAGGACGCTAAAGGGAGGTTTCCTGGGTACGTCCATGGGGCTCCGCCGCCGCCGCCTGCCCATTACCCGGCTCCTAACCCGGGGATGTTTTCGCCGACCACCGCGGCTAAGGGTGCCGGTGCTGCTCCTCCCCCTCCTCCGGTTAAGAAGGGGAATGCTAACGGCCAGCAGAAAGGCGGTGGTGGTGAAGAAGGGGGGAAGGATCTTCATATGTTCGTGTGGAGCTCCAGCGCGTCGCCGGTTTCGGATGTGTTTGGTAGCCATGAGTACGGTGGTCACCATAACCATCATAATGACCACAAGGACGTTAGAGTGGCTGTTTCTCCATCTGGGAAAGGTACCATTCGGAGTTTTATCATTTTTTTTTTTGTTTTTGTTTTGTTTTTTCCCCTCACTTCTTGCCGTTTTCTGAATGTGTTTTTGTTTCGTTGTGGTGGGTGAGCAGTGGAGCAGAGGGAGAATCATGGCGAGGAGTACTTGGTGGAGAGAGACGAGTTCAGCTTTGGGAACAGAGGAGGGGATATGGTGATGAACAATGGCCACGAAGGTGGTGGCGCCGGTGAGAAGGCCGCGGCTGCTGCTGCTGCTGATGGGAAGGCGAAAATTATGCCCCCAACGAGCGTGATGACGAGGCTTATTCTGATCATGGTGTGGAGGAAGCTGATCAGGAATCCCAACACTTACTCCAGCTTGATTGGTCTCATCTGGTCCCTTGTCTCCTTCAGGTCCCTTCCTCACTCACTGCCATTTTTTGCCTTGGTTCATTATCATTTCGTTCAATTTGTTTTTTTTTTCCTCCTGGGTTTTCATTGTAGATAGTGATAATGGTAGATTGATTGGTTTATTAATGGAAGATGGTGGTGGGGTTTTGGGTTGCAGGTGGCATGTAGCAATGCCTGCTATAATAGCCAAGTCCATCTCGATTCTGTCAGATGCAGGGCTCGGCATGGCCATGTTCAGTCTCGGTCAGTATAATTTCAAAACTCAAAATCTTCTTTTGGTTGAGTATTATTTTGCAGATATAATACAACTTATATGATCATTATGAACATTTACTTTGTGTCTCGTTCATGTTCTTTAAAGTTTGCTGCTTTCTGGGTTTACGGCCTTTGGGTTGTGGTTTTAGGAGAGTAAAACAGTCGAACCAGTTACCAGTGGGAGCGGTGGTGCAGTAATAAATAGGTGTCCATTTGTGCCTCAGTTGGATCAAAAGCAGAGGGTCTTTATTAGTCTTTTTTATTTGGTGGGTATTGAGAAAAAAGAGAGTTATCGATGAACAAGCAACGGTAATGCATATGCATAGGAGGAAGCATTAGGAGGGTGGTGGTGATGATGAGTTTCTTGGCTGGTCTTTCTTTTTCTTTTCGCATATGGTGAGTGGTGGGAGTGATGATGACGATGATTCCTTGGTGAAAGGGGGTGGAAAAGTGGGGTTTTTTTTTTTTAAATATCTTTCTTTGAAGAGAAAGAGGAGTAAACGAGGGAAAGAAGAAATCTTTGAGGTCTGACAAGGATCGAGTGAAGTGAACAGAAGGCGGCCTGGCCCGGGTTGGCCGTGGTCTGTGAGTGAGAATGTGAGAGATAGCAATAGGCAATAGCAAGCAGCAATAATGACCATAATGGTGGGTAAAGGGAGTGATGGGCATGCTTTGCCTGCTAGCTTGCTTGCACAGCTTGCTCGCCTGCAAAGTTCGAAGTGCAACCCTTCTCTCTCTTTGGCTCTTTAGTGGTCTTTCTTTCCCTTTTCCATTTGTATACACATTTTTCTGATAAAGGTTGGTTTTCTATTTGGTGTGGGGTTTAGGGTTGTTCATGGCATTGCAGCCAAGGATCATAGCATGTGGGAAATCAACAGCAGCTTTTGCAATGGGGGTGAGATTCTTTGTTGGACCAGCTGTCATGGCAGCTGCTTCCATTGTGGTTGGCCTCAGGGGCACTCTCCTTCACATTGCCATTGTCCAGGTTTGTTTGTTTGTTTCTCTGTTGCCCTTTTCCTTTTGGGACCCCAGGCCTTTTGTAGGGTACCCTTTGTGTGGTTTTGTTTGTGTTTTGCCTCCTCCTGTCCTGACACTACCAATCCCCCTCTCTTTCATTATTAACTCCTGAAAGAAGATTTTTAGCTTCATTATCAAGTGCTTATATGAGGATAAGGCTCAATTCTTTCCTTGTAGTGTTAACTTGTTTGGATTTACTATCTTAACTCCTAGCTACCTGTTTGTGTGGTACATGTACCATAGGAATGATGAATTCTTACTAACTGTAAATGTTGTTTTTGTGTGAATGGACAAACCCAACCCTCTCCCCCCCTTGAACAAAAAAACAAAACAGGCAGCTCTACCACAGGGGATTGTTCCCTTTGTCTTTGCTAAGGAATACAATGTGCATCCTGATATTCTAAGTACTGGGTGAGTGTTTTTGGATTCTTCTTGCCAGTAGCAGCTATACCTCAGCTCCATACTTCGCTGCTTTTACTGTTTTCCTTCTTTTGCTAACATTTTCAGAAAATATTCTCTCTTTCTGTTCTCTCCCTTTTCAGGGTCATATTTGGGATGCTCATTGCCCTACCCTTCACCCTTGTCTACTACATTTTGCTGGGACTATGAAAAAGGAGGAGGATGGAAGAGATGGACAAGAGAAAGAATACTGAAAAAAGGTTAACTAAGCAGCAAGGTTAAAGAGGGTGGTTGAATGTCATTCAACCAAACAATGCCTTGGTAGGATTTTGTGGTTTTGTGAAGTGAAGAAGTAGAAGTAGGGAGCAATGGGTCAAAGCAGCAAGCAACCTCAAATGGCCTCAAACAAAGTCTGAGATTCCCTGACCAAAATCTTTTGTTGTCCCTTTTGTTATTTTCTCCTCCCTCATTTTGATGTTAGGTAAAAGGGTTGTAAGTCAAATTATTAAGGAGCAAAAAGAACTAGAAATGACTCACTACTACCCTTCACATTCCCCTTTGATTGTAATTATAATTCTCACATTAACTTGCATCTTCTTGCTCATGATTCTATGTTGTATCATCAATTCGTTCCAACGATGTTAGCACGTATTAAACTTGTAGCCAAATTCACCAAGTTGATCCATCTTCGTTTTCATGAAGAATAGTAGTGATAATGATGATTAGGGGTGGCTATACGGTCCGGTTAAATTGGTCCAAATTGATCCGGTCCAGTTCGGTCTTTTTGAAAATATAAGGACCGAAGATTGAATTGGATACAGTCCGGTCTTGATCCGGTCCGGTCCCAATTCGGTCTTGATTTTACATTGAGATTGTGGGATTTGAGTGACCTAAGGCCTTAAAGGGTGAGGAGTTGGTTAAGTTTTGTACTAAGTGCAAAGGTTTGTGACCGTTTATGCAAATTATCCTTAAATTTTGGGTGTTGAGCTCTCTTATCCGGTCTTTATCTGGTTTTTTACCTCAAATCTAAGCCCAAAAATTGGATTGGACTGTTTACCATCCGGTCCCGGTCCGGTCTCGGTCCGGGTTATATGATCCGGTTTCCGGTTTTTAATCCGATCCCGGTCCAAATAGCCACCCCTAATGATGATGGGGGACCTCATTGGAATATTAGGGGACAAACAATGGTCACTTTCTTCTTCTGCTACCAATGCCTTGGCTTTGCTCTCTCTCTCTCTCTCTGGCTGTTCTGTCTTCTCTGATTAAGTGATTCCTCAGCCTCTTTCACTTTCTCCTTATTCCTTTTTACTTTCTTGTAACTTTATAGCTTTCCTTTGACACCTTTCCTTTTCACACGCGCTGCTGCATGTTCCCCTGCTTTTCCCCTTCTTTCTTTGCCTTCACTTTTGAAATTAAACATTCCTGTCTACAATTTGATTAATTAATTAATAAAGGCAAGATAAGCAACAACATATAAGAAATCAACCTAGCTAGCACAAGTGTTTCTTCCTTTAAAGCAAAGTCAGGTTAAATTTCAATTTGTAGATGTTAAAGTTTGTGACGAAAATAGTAAAAAGATAAATGGTCCAACTAAGCTGGCACCACTATCGTTTAACCACTAACGGAACGAATGATGAAATTGCTGATAGAGACATACAAAAGCTAATGTGAAATCATATTAGTCTGAAGAAAAAAGAGAAATTGTTGCATGGTGGTTTAATACAATCAATTACGTTATTTGGAGACAAATGAAAAATGTGATGGACTATACGATCCATCTACGATTAATTGGTTGAACAAAAAAACGTATGCATTCCACCTAATTTACAAATTAGTACGGAACTATCAAAATTCAAATAAGGCAAACGCTTTGGAGTGATATTCAGAACCATTTGTTGCTTAAATAACATTGATTATATGTATATAAAATTCTAATGCGTTTTGGAATTCTCAAAGGGGTTGGAGAATGTTTTGTCATATGGTTCTTTATACCTATGGTTCCCTTGGCCTATTCAGCTCTGAGCAGTCCGTTCACAACCCTGTCCATCGTCACGCAATCTCAATTTGCATTACAGTTATACTCAATAAAGGAAATCACCTTACTCGGTTTGATCATGCATTGTTTCTTTCATTTTGAGCTTTCCTGTGCGTTTCCAAGCGTTTGGGTTGTCTCTATTTTCGACGAATGATGGAGAGAACCTAAACTATGAAGAAGAGAGCGAGGAGCTATAGGAAGAAGGTGTAGCCCTGAAAAGGCAGAGGACGAATGGGAGCGAGGAAGAAAAAGTAATTGCCTTTGTGGCTGTGACTGTGAGCGAATACTACAAAACAAGGGAGGCTGTAGATAGATAGATCCCACAAACAATTGTCTCACAACCGGCCGACCAGACACAACTTAGTGGGAGACATGAGTTGGGAAGTCGCTTACCCATACACAATCATCTTTTCCATTTCCTATATCTTAATTAGTTAAAAATATGATTTCTTTTGTAGTGTAACACTTTTATTAATTTAGGATAGCTAGTTATTTAATGGAAAAATAGTTACGAAACATGTTGATACGGTTCGATCAATGCGTCGTATGATGTACACCGTTAAATCAAAGTGAGAGCCTAACGCGTGATCGGTTCACGCGTCAGGATTTCGAACGAGAAAGAGGTTAAAAGGAAGACTGGTTTATTCTTATTCTGGTGAATAAAACGTAAAACCTAGTATATATTTATAGGCTAAGTACAAACCCTTCCTTTCCCGAACAAGGAAACAAATCCCAAACCGCTTACGAAACGATAAAATATTCTAAACCGAAACAATAACCAAAATAATATCTCGATTATTAATAATAGAAGTAATAAAAAAATAAGAAAAGGGCGACTGAAATTCTTAATGCATTAGAGCCATCAATTATAAGTTGTTTGTGTTTGGATCGAACGATTAAGGGTCTCGATCATGATGTGTTAGGACCTAGGAGACGTAGCCATGTCATTAAGTTATCACTTTGGTACACTCTTAAAGTGGATTCACCATTTTGTTATATTAGCCGCAAATTTGGTGGGTGCTTTAGCTTTGAACCTAATTTCGACTCTTGTGATAAAACGACCAAACTTTTGTTGGTATCAAATATAACATGAAATCTTAGGATTTTGTGATAAAATACTTTTATGTAACTACCCGTCCAATTTTACTCTAGACATCGAAGCCACCCATTTTCTTTGGGTGCTTTCGTTTACAACAATGAATAAAAGTAACCAAACTAGATCCACGAGGACAATATCTCCACACAACCTATCTCATGTCCAAAACCAACTGATTTCCCTTGCTCGATCTCTTTGTCTTCTTCCTTCATGAAATTCGTTGACATGTCAATTTGTTCAAGGTGAAACAATATGTGGATGAGTTGTGTCTGCCTTCTATGAAAGTGACGATTGTTATTACGGTATACAACTCTTTAAACACTTTTCGAATGAGAGTGTTTGGTGCATAATAAGGAACCTACGTTAATATTACCATATTCCTATGGAGATTCCTTTAGAGCGCCGTAACTACAACTAAGACTGAATATGGAGGATCCTTCATGGAGGAAAGCTCTGCAAACTACTGTTTTCCCGGCGAGAAAATAAAGGAAAGAGAATTGAATTTTGCACCTTTGACTTCCAAACAAACGATTAACAAACACGGTCCACACCTCTTTGAACAAATTTCAAACAAGGGTTTTCGATGTTCTTGATGATCTATGAGGCAAACTAAATTACATTAACTCTACTCCTATGGAGGTTCAGTGAGAGCTCCGAAACTACAACTATGGCTATGACTACATTTGCAGAGGAAAAGGTAAAGATAAAAGGATAAAATTTGACATTGTGTTGTCTGGTGTGATTTTGGAGAACCCCTTCTCTGTCATCTTCACCTCCTATTTATAGCCATAAGAAGTAACTGCCACAAGAAACTGCTCTGCTGACGTGGAGTGACAGTTACCCTCTCAACTGCTTCGACGGTTACCTTGACGTTGGATGTAGACCAATCTTGGCCTCTCCTCTTGAGACCGCACTCCATACTCTTGGTATCCCCTCCGTAACTTTGCTTGTCTATAGAGAAAAAATGGCTAAGGCATGAAAGCAGACCACGTGCCACATATGGGTGGGTACTCGAATCACTTGAGTCAAAAATGGCAAAAATACTTCACCATTACAGGAGTAGGGAGACCACGTGCCCACCTGACCCCCCCTGACCACCTCACGAGGGTGATGTCCTGGTAGCCCCCCTGGCAACCTCATGGGGGCGATAATCAAAATAATCAAAATCAAAAATCATAATCAAAATAAAAAAAAAAAAAATGAGAGGAGCTCTCTCCTCTCTCCTGGAAATCTGTGGCTTCGCCGGACGACTTCTCTATGCGGCTTTTACGACGGTGCTTGCGATTGCCATTGCTAATCAGGAGAAGGTTCGGAATTCTTCGGATCCACATAAGGCTACGGAGGAGGTGGACAGCAAAGTCATAGTTAAACCGCTTCTTTTAGGCCCTGGTCAAATAGCGTCCAATGGAGCTGTTACCTGTAAAAAACGACGGCGATCTTCCGTCGGGCTTGCCTCGGCCGCTCCTTCAGAAAAGCGCCGGCGATGCCCCAAAATTGTATTGTGGAAATTCCATATACCCTCTTTGGATGAGCTGGAGAGGGGAGAGGATGCTGCCTCCCTTCCGCCCGATGCACCAAGTCCATCCACAAACAAGATTGAAACTGTGATTGCAGCTTCCAATCCCGATTTGATAACGCTTAGACCCCGAGATGGGGCGAGCGGTGTCCGTGAGAATTATGGTACTGGTACGCCTGTTAATGTCTCCCCTCTCTCGCCGGTGGTGCTTCTCCGCCCGCTGAAAGTGGAGATGTGGCGGTACCTCAGGATTCCTTCAAGGAAAATTCAAATCCCCATGGCAAGCGAAATAGATGGGGTAGACAAGGCTGATTCTGACATACGCTTGATGCCTCGCTCGCCCACGTTGTTGAAACTTAGACCCTGCACTGGGGCGAGGTTCAACGGTTTGATACGTGGAAGGGGTAAGCCTGGACTTGCTTCCTGCTGCTGGCCGGTGACTGTTCTCCGGCCACCGATGATGAAGCGGTGACTGTTCTCCGGCCACCGATGATGAAGCGGTGACTGTTCTCCGGCCACCGATGATGAAGCGGTGTCCGTCTGATCGATTACACGTCACTCAACGGCCAACTCGTGTCAGGCTGGGACTCTCGGGCTGCCATATCGGATCCGGAGTACTCGGGATACGGTCTCGTAACCGATTTAGGTTTTTCCGAGATTATACCTCTCTTTTTGAAAAACAACTCCTGCACTTTCGTATCCCAAGCCAACCGGGACTCTTGCTCGCTAAGGATTCTTTGGGGAACGCGCACCTTATAAAGCCTAGCTCTAGCCGAGGTTCCTCCTCACCCTCTCGGCATTCTACTCCGCGGCTAGTTGCAAAAGGAAGGTGCACCCAATCCCAACCCCGAGCTCGTGGTCTTTGTGCTGGTAGGTGGCAAATGGATTGTGCTAATATTTCTCTTCTGCTCTGGGAGAATACTAATTTGCTTCTCAAGGTTTCGTGCTCTTTGGCTCGTTTCCCTTGGCCAGGGCTGGACCTCTCTCTTATTTCCATTTATTTGGAGTCTTTACCAAACCTTACTGCTTTGCAGCCTGCCGCAATGTCACGGATCACCAAGGATCAAATTGTGGAGTTCTCATTGGAAGATGTTCAATCGGACAAGATGCGCCAGGACTGTTCCCTGCTCGGTCGCCTATTCACTGACCAAAGCTATTCCCCTCTGGAGGTTCGGGACCTGGTGAATAATCCCTGGCAGGGACGGGGCAGAATTCAGGTGCGGGCGGCTGCATGCGGCCTCTTCGAGTTCGCTCTTCCTACAAAGGCTGCCAAAGCTTGGGTTCTCAAGCAAACCCCGTGGGTGGTCGGAGACAAAATTCTCCACCTACGACCCTGGACTCCGGCTGTCAGTAAAAGAACTTTTGATGAACTCGCGTTAGCCCCTTTCCGTGTGCAGCTGTGGGACGTCCAAACGGATTGTTGTACGAAGCAGCTTGGTCACAAGGTTGCGGCTGCCAAGATCGGTAGGGTCCTGGAGACTGGGCTGTTCTCATGTTCGGACTCTGATCAACGCTTCATCAAGGTGAAGGTGCTGTTGGACTTTTCCAAGCCTCTCCGATCTCAGATTTGGGCAACTAACGAGGAGGCTGGAGGCTTCTGGATTCGATTGAAGTATGAGCACTTGCCGAGTTTTTGCTACCACTGCGGGCGGGTCGGCCACTCCCGTCAGACTTGCTCATTCCCGCCCCCAGCTGGGAAAGAGCGTTTTGGGCCGCAAATGTCGACCAAGAAGATGGGCCGCAAGCTTTATGATGCTGAGGAGCACCCCCATCTCCCTCAATACCCGTCGCGGTCGGTCTGGGTTAATCAGGAAACTCGGGGGATATTGGGGGGCGACCCGACATCTGCTCGGGACCATGATGATGAGGAACGGCGGGTGAACGGATTGGACAAACAGCCTCTGGTAGAAGACAGCCCTCTTTGGATGGGATCGTCTTCTCGTCCGTTTACGAAGACAGAACCTACTGTGCGCCAGGGGCGTAGCCCGCTGCAGTTCCCAGTGGCGAAGGGGCCTCGTATTCATCTCCGGCAACATGGTCGGAACACCCAGTTGGCGGCGAAATATGTTGCGCCTGACTCTCGTCCGGGTGGGTCTGGCCAGCCTAAGAAGGAGAAGAAAAGAGGAAGCAGACCTACCATTGCGAAGCCGATGCTGTTGGATGTATCACACGGAGACAGATTGAAGGCGAGTCCGCAGCCTGCTTGGCGGGAATCCCGGACGCTGGCTTCCCCGACTCTGAGTCAAGCCCAGGAACATTCTCGTCGTCGAAGGCTCATTCTCGAGCAGGATTCCGAGGACGAATTTGTTGTACAGCCGGTTCCCGTGAAGCCTCCAAAATCCCTATCTAAGTCAGGCTCTCGGGCTAAAAAAATGGGAAAACATAAATCCAAGGCACAGGGGGATGGGGCGCCGCGAGGTGTGGATCGGGCGGCTCGGCAGCCTGTTGAAACCGCTCGGGGGGATCGGAATACTACTGCTGGTCCGCCTAGGCGTGGTCGCAGGCTGACCAAAAAGGTCCCCGCAACGGCAGAAGCGCAGAAGGAGCTGGGCAATCCTTGTGATGCTGAGATGGGTGTTGCTCCGATGGAAGAGGGTACTTCGCTAGACCCTAATGCCGATGTCCCCATCCCAGGGAATATGGAATCGGAGGAGGACTTCTCTGACGCGGATTACCACTCCTTTGAAATCAAACGGCGTGAACTTGGTGTGCATCCTGAGACAGAGGAGAGCCAAGCTGGCCATGTCCAGAAGGTGGTTCAGGCCTTTGAGAGTGGGGTGGCTGTGCCTATGTCCCCGACCAAAACCTGGGTGCGTCGCCCTCGGGCCATGGAGAAGCCGCCGCAGCAGCAGGAGACAAGTGAGAAGGAGGATGGTCAGCTGGGCCTCAATGTCTATGGTTCCAATTTGAGTAGTAACACCATTGGGGGTCTCAAGCGCTCTTTGGATAATATTGGTGGGGTGAATGCTGATTCCCCAACGCCAAAGAAGCAGTTTGTAGAGGAAATTGATGATATGGAAAAGGTGGAGGAAGCCAGCCTTAAATGGCCCCAGTCGAATAAATGAGGCTTCTAGCCTGGAATGTGAGAGGAATTGGGCCATCCCTCACATTCCAAACAGCTGTTGGTTTGGTTCACTCCAATAAACCGGATCTCGTGTTCTTCTCGGAGACTCGATCGAGCCGGCGAGTAGTAACCCGGCGCATGCGGGGGTTAGGTTTTGATCTTTCTTGTTGTTTTTTTGTTGATGCGGTTGAGGCATCTGGTGGTTTAGTTGTAGCTTGGGCCTCCGAGGTTGATGCTTCGGTGTTTTACCATTCGAATTTTTGTATTTGCACGCTTGTTAATGAAATTGATTTCTCCTATGTGGTGGTCTTCGTTTACATTAGTTGTAATACTGTTGTCCGTACCACTCAGCTGGAGCAACTTCGAGAAATTTGTGGCAGCATTAGCCATCCTTATGTTGTCATTGGGGACTTTAATTCTACTCTGCATGAGGGTGAGAAGGATGGCGGGCTGCCGTGGAGTGCTACTCAATCTCTGAGCCTTCGGGATTTTGTTCAGGATCTGGGACTCCATGACCCGGGCTACCAGGGAGATCAATTCACCTGGTCGAACAGACGAATGGGGGCCGCCTGCATCCGTGAGCGTCTGGACCGTGCTCTTTGTTCCCATCCTTGGATTGATCGCTTCCCTGACACCCTGGTGAAGCATTTCACTGATCAAGGCTCTGATCATCGAGCCCTCCTTCTCTCGGACAAGACCTACACCCGCACCACCCGCCCCCTTTTCCGATTTGATGCCCGTTGGGCTGATAACCCGGAGGTTAGGGCTATGGTTCATTATGTCTGGAAGGAGGAAATCCAGGGAACCCCTATGTTCCGCCTTTGGGAACGCCTTAAACGGCTTCGGCATTTGCTCTATGATTGGAGTAGGGCAGGTACCACTAATTCCCTGCGGAATATTAGAACCCTTCAGGCAGAGATTGAGCGGGTCAAATTGATTCATCCAATCGATTGGGACGAAGTTTGAAATCTTGAGATCGAGCTTAGTCGGCAATGGGAGGCAGAGGAGGTGTACTGGCAACAAAAATCCAGGGTCCGGTGGCTGAAGAAGGGGGACCAAAACTCCTCCTACTTCCACACGGTTACTCGTGCTAGGCGTAAGCGTAATTTCGTTGCAGGACTCCGTAGTGAAAATGGGGAGTGGGTCACTGAGGAACCAGGGAAGGCAGAAATTGCCACATCCTTCTACCAAACGCTCTTTACGTCGGAGACGCATGTCCCGAATATGGCTGAGAGGGTAGCCAGTCTCCCGGTTCCTCGGTGTGTTACCCCTGAGATGAATGCTTCCTTGACAAATGAAGTCCTTCCCAGTGAAGTTCGGCAGACTGTGTTTGCTATGGGCTCAAAGCAAGCCCCGGGCTCTGATGGGTTCACGGGCAAATTCTTTAAAGCTTTCTGGGATATAGTAGGGGAATCTGTGAGTGAGGCAGTTTGTTCCTTCTTTGAGACGAGTCGGATGCTTAAAAGCTTTAATCATACTTGGCTTACTTTGATTCCGAAGGTGGACAATGTTGAGACCATGCGCCAATTGCGCCCTATCAGTCTGTGCCAATTTGTTTACAAAATCATAACGAAGATTATGGCTGGAAGACTGGCAAGCATCCTTCCTCTAATTATCTCAGAGGGCCAAAATGCTTTTATTCGCGACCGCCAGATAATTGACAACATCCTTCTTGGACATGAGTTAATGCACTATTTGAAAATCAAAGCTCGGGGCAAGAAAGGGTACATGGCTCTAAAGGTTGACATGGAAAAGGCCTATGATAGAGTCGAATGGCCCTTTCTCCTTGCAGTTATGAATAAAATGGGTTTTAACTCTGTTTGGCAGGGATGGATTCGTGAGTGCCTCCGATCCTCCTCTTTTTCTGTGCTTATGAATGGCTCCCCCTCGGGGTACTTTACGCCTTCCAGGGGGTTGAGGCAGGGAGATCCGTTGTCGCCGTTGTTGTTTGTGATTTGCACTGAGGGATTTACGGCTCTTCTGCGCAAGGCAGTTGAGGAAAAGAAGCTTCAGGGTGTTAAGGTGGCCCCCCGTGCCCCTAGAATTTCCCACCTGTTCTTTGCTGATGATTCATACTTGTTTCTGCGGGGGAACCTTCAGGAATGTGAAAACCTAATCGAGGTCTTGAATGAGTATGAGGAATTGAGCGGACAGCGTGTGAACCTGGATAAGTCTGCGGTTTGCTTCAGCAAGAATATCGTTCTGGGGGATCAGGAATTTCTGGCTACGGTTCTGGGGGTGGGGGCGGTAGGAGTGCACGATAAGTACCTGGGGTTGCCCACCCTGTTCGCTAGGTCTAAAATGGCTACGTTCAGGTACTTGGAGGAGAAATTGTTAGCTAAGCTTCAAGGATGGAAGCAAAAGACACTTTCATGGGCGGCTAAGGAGACCCTTATTAAGTCTGTTGCACTGGCTTTGCCCCTGCATGTAATGTCGTGCTTCAAATTACCAGTCTCGTTATGTCGTCTTTTGGATAGACATGTGGCTAGATTCTGGTGGGGGGAGGCTGAGGGTCACCTGAAAATTCGATGGGTCTCCTGGCGACATATGTGTAAGAGTAAGCATGACGGGGGGATGGGGTTCCGCAGATTTGAACAGTTCAATCAAGCTCTCCTTGCCAAAATTGGTTGGCGGATATTGACTGAACCCCAGTCCCTCCTAGCCCAGGTGTACAAAGGCAAATATTTCCCCAATGGCTCCTTCCTCACCGCTACGGCTCGCTCCCGTCCTTCGTGGGGGTGGCAGAGCCTTCTTTTTGGGCGCCAGTTATTGGAAAAAGGGTTGAGATGGCAAATCGGGAATGGGCGGTCGGCACCGTTGTTAAATTCCAATTGGATCCCGCAATTACAGTGGGACCCTCCGCATTACAATCCTTGTGTGTTGCCTGATGGGGGTGACCCGGTCGTAGCTGAGCTTATCTGTCAAGGGGAGGGGCGTTGGTGTGATCACAAGCTTAGGCAGTGGTTTGATCCGGGTACTTGTAAGGCCATCAAAGCTATTCCCCTCCCGCGCCAGGGTGTGGAGGATAGATTGATCTGGCATAATACTGCTGATGGGGTGTTTTCGGTCAAGTCTGCTTATCACCTTGCTGTCTTCCTGGATAAGCGGAACGGAGGGTGGAAGGACTCGGTCAGCTGGATGGATAAGGCCAGCTGGATTCGTCTGTGGGAGGCAAACATTCCCCCTAAGCTGAAGGTGTTCGTTTGGCAGCTCCTTTCATGAGCCCTCCCAACTACCGAGGCTCTCATTGAGCGTAGGGTCCCGGTCCATCCTCGTTGCCCGGTTTGTTGGGCTAGTTCCGAAACGTTAGAGCATTTGTTTCTTGATTGTCCGGTGGCTCGGGCTTTATGGGATTACTCGGGCTTGAACTACCTTGGGGAGGGTTTGCCTCGTCAAACGTTTCCTTTGTTCCTCAAAAAGCTTTTGGCTTTAATCAATCAACCTACTTTGTTCATGGCAGTTGTAGCCGTCCTCTGGCGAATCTGGCGCTCGCGTAACTGGGTGGTGTTTGAAGGGAAACAGTTTGGGATCCCAGTTTTGATGCGTCAGTTCGTCCAGCAGTATGAGGAGTGGGTTCGTTTGCCTGCCCAATCCGTATCTCTGGCTCCTCCTCCTCGTTCTGGTCAGGGCCAGTTGGAGGATGTGGGTGATCCTCGTATGGTTTGTAAGTGGGATGGAGCCACTAGACGGGGATCCCATTCGGCGGGAGGAATGGTTCTTCTACTTCCTACAGGGGCGATCAGTATGGCCATGGGAGTGCAGTTTGAGGTTATTGATGATCCAATGGTGGTGGAGTTATTGGTGTTACGGGAGGCTGTGCTTTGGTGTCAACGCTTGGGCCTGACGGATGTTCGTTTTGAAGGCGATGCCAAAGTCGTTGTCGATAAGATCAATCGAGGGGAACATGGTGACAACAGGGTGGGTGCTGTTCTTGAAGAAATTGCCAATTGTCTACAGATCCAGCCTGGGTTTAGCATTCGGTTTGTAGGTCGGCGTAGTAATAGGGTTGCCCATTTGGTGGCTAGAAAAGCCCTTTCTTTGTACCCGGCCTTGTGTCGTTCCTTTAATTATCAGACCTGGCTGTCTTCCAGGGTGTAACTGCCTATTTTCTTGAATCAATATATGATTATCTTTTGTCAAAAAAAAAAAAAAAACCTCATGGGGGCGATGTTGACCACGCCCCTTGGCCATACTATGGGGCGTATGCTGGTGACCCCTTGACCATACCACAGGGGTGGATATTAATCACCGCCCTGATCATATCATGGGGATTGCATGCTCATGGCGGGGTGTGTTGATGGCCACCCCCTGATCATCTCATGGGGGGTTCTCCTTGCAATCCTTGGTGATCACCCTCGTGTCATATCCTGTATGAGGATCACCCCCTGATCATACCATGGGACCCCATCCTTCTCCATACTTAATCGTATTTCACACCCCATGGGGGTTGGTAATATGACCCACTCACTACGTCCTGAGTCACCCCCTTACCACGTCATGGGGGTGGCAATATGGTACCCACCCCCTTGGTACCTCCTGGGGGTGGCAGCATGATGCCCACCCCCTTAACCACGTCCTGGGGGTGGCATGATGGTGGCCACTCCCCTTACCACGTCCTGGGTATGATGGTGGCCACTCCCCTTGGTACCAACTGGGGGTGGTGTTATGATGGCCACCGCCCTTGCCACGTCCTGGGGGTGGTATGATGGTGGCCACCCCCCTTGGTACCTCGTGGGGGTGGCAGCAAGATGCCCACCCCCCCTTACCACGTCCTGGGGGTGGTATGATGCCCACCCCCTTGCTACGTCCTGGGGTGGTATGATGGTGGCCACCCCCCTTGGTACCTCTTGGGGGTGGTGGTATGATGCCCACCCTCCTTGCCACGTCCTGGGGGTGGTATGATGGTGCCCACCCCCCTTGGTACCTCTTGGGGGTGGTTATTCTTCTCTTTGCCTTAGCCAAATTCTGCCATCACCCCCCTCACCATGTAATGGGGTGGCG